GGAGAGGGAAGGGGTACTCCCGGGCCGGCACTGCTAGAATAGTAGAGTTATATGCGATTGAAATCACACAACTAAAATTAATCTGATAAATTCTCTCATCGCTACGGTAAGTATACTGTAGCAACGGCATGCTATTCGTATCAAAATGCATGAGCGAATATAAATTTTGATAAATATTTTCAGTTAAGGGGGCACCGGTGTACTAAGGAAGGGGAAGGGGCACCATCGAAATTTTCGATTATTTTTTGATTCAGCTGGCTTGCGGCTGAAAGGCGGGGCTTCATGACCTAATTAAGGCTAAATAAGTTCAGAGAGTACGCGCGCGAGGGAGATGTAGACTGCGTAGCGGGCGCGAGCAGCCTTGACTAGGTAAATAACCGCCTTCCAGCCGCCAAGCCAGTTGAATTGTTACCTAGGGGTCTCAGAAAATTGTGCAGGTATGTTTCTACTTGTATAATCTAACAAAAGTAAGTAACAAAAGTAAATTTCCGAAAATTCAAACAATGTAAAAAAAATTTTGATAGCGTGGTTGTGTCTACGACCTTTTTGGAAATTCAAATTTTCGAGAATTAAAAGTCCACTAAGGAACTGGGAAGCATCCTAAAAACGTTTTCGGAGGGTGTGATCAAAGTCACATTCCTTCATTCGAGAAAATTTTTTGCCCCTTCCCCTCCCCATTCGAAGCAGCTCAAATCCTTCCTCATTTGTATATAATAAAGTACTTTCTCGTACGCGCGCATAAAAACCTTGAAAATCAGAATTTATTGGATAGCAATTTCAAGTCCTTTTCATCCTTTACCACTACTTGTCTCACTTCTATACTTCCTCCATAATTCAAAACATTTTCCAGAACTTGGTCATATTTTCATTTTTCGTTCATTCATAAGCAAGTGATAAATAGCTTTTCGCTAGCCTCTAGACCATTGGCTCGCGCTTCGTCTTCGTCCCCCCTCTCTCTCAATCCAATTTGCCATTGTCTACTCTTTTTGCATGTTTTGTTTCTAGCTGTCTGGCAAGATAAACGAGAACATATCGCATCAGATTGATTGCTGCCATTATCTTCTCGTCTGGAATAGCCCCACAGCATGGGGAGCGCGAAAATATCCGGCAATAGGGGCACGCAAGATGCGATTGCTTCATTGTTTTATGGTGCTGCTTTTATGTTTAGTGAAAATGTTGGTTCTTTACATGGTTTGATAAAATGCACCTAATATCGCGAATCTCTTACATACTGCCCATTTATAGGGTAGTTATTGATTGATTTTTTTTTGCTGGAATTCAAGTCAATCGTCAATTTACGACTGAAGCTGTGGTATAAAATCGATTTCGTGACATTTTTGGTTATTACTCCGACTAATTTCGAGTTCCCAAGTTTTTTGCTTTCATTTTAACAAATATTAGTCAATATATATAGAATCGTAGCGCCAATTCAAAAATATCAGATAGCGGGAATCTGCGGCGGGTCCCGAAGCAAACGCTCTTAGCTCTAGCACCTTTATACTGGTTTACTAGCCTAATGTATATGGAATCGTAACGCCATTTCAAAAAATATCAGATAACGGGAAACCGCGGCGGGTCCCGAAGCGAATGCTCCTGCAGAGCACTTTAGATCATTGGATCACTAATCAATGAAAGTTGACTTGATGTAGGGCGAAGGTACTAACTTGTCAATTTGTTTGTCATGGCTATCAAGTTGATAAATTTATTGAAATTTTGCCCCTCCTCTTCCCGAACCTTCTTGAAACTAGAATTGATTACAGTTGATCAAAAGTGTTTCTGAGATTTGTGGATTTGAAATTTTCCCCAAATTTTCTCTCCAAACAGTGGAATTCTCTGGGACACATTCTAATCCGCGTTGTTTTATAAATGATATCTTTAGTTTACAATGAAGATTCTTCATCAAACTTTTCGCAAAACAACCGCTGAATTAAAGGACATTTCAACAAACATTAGTTCAAATTTTATCGCCACATCAACATTTCGTCCTTCTCGGCTATCAGCTATCACTGTAAATTTTTGTTTCTTCAAGCAGCTTCGTTCCCACGCCTTCAAAGCAGAACCTTAATTAGACGAGCAATCATATTCGACCACAAGTCCGCGAAGCCAAAGTGAAAAGTCTGCAAAACTTTTCTTCTTTCGCTGCTTATTAGCAATCCTTGCTAAACTATTATGGTGGATTGCTAATAACGCGAAAGGGAATTGCACCACAGATTGCTGAGTTGCTCCTCGAGAGTTGCAACATGCCATGAATTTTCAAAATTTTCGATTTATCATAGAAAGTACCCTCTAATTCAACTGTCTTGGCGGCTGGAAGGCGGAGCCTCGTGACCTAATTAAGGCTAGGTAATTGATCAGAGAGCATGCGCGCGGAAGAGACATAGACTGCGCGCTGGCGCGAGCGGGCTTAACTAGGTCACAAAGCCCCGCTTTGTAGCAGCCAAGTCAGTTGAATGAAAGACTGCTAAATCTCCGAATATACCGGTCTCTAGTGCATTTGAACATTCATATTTTGTCTTTGCGCTATTTAAGGAAACTTCGTGTCCATTTGAAAAATATCAAAAAGAAAAATTATAACTTCCTTATCCAAAGCTTCTAGCTCCTATCCTTTTTTCCTATACTCAACGATTATCAATCAAGTAGAGTCAAAGACTGTTTTTCTGTCTAGCTCAAACAATTAGTCGGAACTTCCGCGGGACAAACGAAATTTGCAACGGTACCGCAGGATTTTCTTTACCATCACAGAAGTGGATACGTAGAAAGGGGGCTTCCAAATTTTCACGTCAGACTGATTGAAAACGGGAACTTTTGCAAAGCTTTTTGCAAAATGCTGGGGAAATTCCGAAAAATTCCAGAGTTCCAGCAAGTCGCAGCACTTTGGCTTGCTAGTACTTCCGCAGGACTTTGAATGTGTTGTCTCTTACGATGTTGTCTCTCGCCTACCGCTAGAGTGCTTTGTTGAACATGAGATCCGTAGTGCAGAGGATAGTGAGTCTGATAGTCAATAGAGCAGCGTTCAAATCCCGCTAAGATGTTCTTTTTTGCTGTAGCGGTTTGCATTCTTCGGAATTTCTGCAGCATGTTAACGGGACTTCCGCAGGTGACCCGACGTTCTGCGGAAGTTCGTCAGCTGTCGGCGACTTTGCAACCACTTTTACCCTCTCAGTTGCCTGAGAGGGTGAAAATAGTTGCAAAGTCGTTCTGGTCCTTCAAAATTTTTGTCAAATTTTTCTCATCTTTCTCTACTTTGCGGCAAACATGCTGCCATTTTTTCAGTGGCAGTATTTGTTTCGTTTGAAGAAAAATTGGATAGTTAGAGAACAATCATAGGTATGCGGCGAGGTCCCAGCAATTTTTTTTGCTGTGAGGGGTAAAGGCATAGAAACTTTCTTTGAATGAAAGCGTGGTCTTAGGCATGCCCCTTTGAATTTACATGTTTTCAGAGAGTTATAACCTTGAAGTTTTGAAAAAAGAAGCTCTAATCCATCCACCCCAAGAAATTTTGCCAAGCGATTCTGAATTTTTAGGAAAATTGGATGACTTCCAATTGTTTGTGAGTAAAAACGAGTCACTTGCATATACATAACTCTTAAAAATCCTCACATCTCAAATCTCTAAAGAATTTACGTTCGAAAATCTCATTTTTTCTTAGAGCTAGAGTAGGAGAGACTATTCAAAGCCCTAGGTGACACTTAGCAAACATGAAATAACCAAAAATGGGCGTCATGGGTGTCATTCAAGCTTCTCAAAGTGTCAGACAGCTCTAACCTTCGAACGCTCGAATCTCATGATGTCACCCTCCACCCACCTCAAAATCCTATTGTTCTACGGCCATGAGTGAGGAGCAGTGTCGTCGACGGATTTCCCCTATTTTACACCCACTCAAGCTTGAAAATTGCTTGTTACAGGGGTGTTTTGTCTCTCAGTGGGAGCTATACATCCTTATGGGATGCGTTTCTGCAGATATTGCCTGGAAACTCGGTATAAAAATGTAAAACCTTATGGAATTTCGGATTCGTAGAAAAATCTCTGCTCTTGTGTGATCCACGATTGTTCCCATGAAATTCTTTTTAGAACACTTCTACGTGTCTTCTATTGTGCGGTTTTTTCTATTTCCCCCTTACAATGGATTTCACAATCTACTGCCATATTCCATATTATGAGTTTTATGAATTTCCATTCATGGAATATCGCCCTTATCCACTCACTGCTCTTCGCAATTTTATGAACTGGGCATGTTTCTATTTTTTGCATGTTTCTATTTCTTTTTCGTGCTGTCTTCGCTGACTTCGGGATTTTTATAGAGTTCTCATTTTCCAAAACTTTCCTCCCGTCCCTCTTCTGAAAAAAGTGGCGAATTTTTTGAAAGTTTGAGCTATAAAGTCGTGCGAGAAATTTGTTCTTACTTATGAGTATTGAAATAAATCATTTTAACTTTATTCACTTCATGAAATTCTGGTATAGTTCAGTAATTTTTTTCTCAAAACGAAGTTCCCGCCGCTTATGATGCCGCCCCTTCAGGATCATAAGCTTGCTAAAAATTTAGAGGTTATCATAGATTATTTCTAACTTAATTTTAGCTTGCCACCCATTCCCCTCCCCCTCCTCTTAGTTAGTAAAAGAATTTCTGAGACTGTTTCCGGTTTCCTCATATTTCGGAACTTGTTATATCCATGGGCCTCTGTTGTTTTTCCACTATTTATGTTATTCGTTCAAATTCTGAAGTTTAACTTTTTTCAAATGTATTATTGTGCTGTCTTGCAGTGCTTTCATCGACTTAGCAAGAATGGGGCTCGAAATCTTCTCAATCAACAATAAGGCAAGCATTTTAGCATTTTCATAAAAGTTGAAATTGTCTTGTTTCTCCTCTGAGATGAAGCTAGAAATGTCTCATTATAATTGTGGGGATATCTTCTGCCAGAACATGAGAAAATTTTAGAAATATTTGATTTCTTATTTATTATTTTTCTTCAATAGGAATTTCTATTTAGACAGTGGTGGACATGGAAGGAAAGATGCGTGATAGCAATGTTCGGCTCTACATAGGAGTGTTGGTGATGTTAGTCTATCTACTCATAGGCGCAATTGTGTTTGTTAGGTGAGTTCATTCAAAAACATTCACATTGAGGGGGTTGAAAAAAGCTGAATTTATAGTGCTTTCTCAGCCCGGGCCGACATGAATTCCTATCTAGGTATCTTGAAAGCGAAGACTTCTTTAACCGGAAACGTTGGTAAAAACAAACTAACCTAATTTGTGCTTTCAAACGCGCAAAAACCATATCCCCTTTGCTTTTTCACTCCGAAAACGAAGTCCAGCCTGCTTCCAAACGAAATGTGCCGGGCCTTGGTCTCAGCCGAATCTTATGAGTTCTACTGGATGAATCTTTGCAAGGAATTTCCAAGACATTTTTATATGGTATACAAGGTGTCCCAAATTGCATCAAACGTTGGATCTTCTAATGAGAGAAGCTATCGCTGTCCTGGAAACAGTATTTCACGAGAATGGCATCAACTTAGTTACAGTATCGAGCGAGGCATTGACCACTTTTTGTTATTGTAGGATTACGTAGGGACTTGGCAGATAGTGCTATGAAGAAGCCCCCTTTACAAAAAAATTCAAAAATTTGAAAATTATGTACCAGAGTTTTTATCTACTCTACTTTTGCCTTTTACACGTTTTTGGAGCTCTTGAAATGATGGCATTTTTGAAGAACATTGAGGAGAAAGTTGTACGGTATCTTGGCATAAAATATGGAAAAAGCATGCTGTTGGGGCAAACTTCTTACTTGAATTTATCGAGTTTGCTTAGCCTGTGTGAGGGTTTCCAGGTGCTTGGTTTTCTTTTTGAAAAAAATAAATAAATAAAATAGGGCACTCTTAGGCCGGCATACCTGTCGCGATTTCGCGAAATCGCCACACTCGCGACTTGGCGGTTTGCCAGATGTCTAGAGATCAAGCATGCGAGACTCTCAGATGCATGGGTGCATAGATTCCGTAAATTGTAACAAACACAGCAAGTCCGGCCCAAGCAAAGCGCGTTTGCGACCTGCTATGGAGAGTCGTTGCAGTGCCAAATCGCGCGGCGACTAAATTCGCGTGAGGTATGCCTTAGGCCTTATGCTCAAAATCATTTTTAAATTTCCTCTCACCCTATAGAACGATGGTGATTGGCTTTATACTATTAATGTGAGTTTTAGCCAGCTCTATAGTAGGGGAGGCAGCAGTGCTCTTTATACCGGAGAGTTTTTGAAGATCAAATGTTTGATAGATTTCTTGGACCTTTGTATTTCTAGCTGAACTTTATACAATGATTTCTTTTTTCTCTTTTGCCCATTAATCAGTGTAATCGATGCTTTCCAGAAAATTGCCATCTTTGAGGTTAGTGCCTCCACTAATGGAATGCATCCATTCTGTCGAAAAAAAGCATTAGTTTGGATGATGTAGCGTAATATACTGAATAGCTTTTTTACTATTTTGATACAATGGAGTGATTCGACACGTTACGTTTGGCATTCAATCATGTGAGAGATTGCATAGGTTTACAAAAATACTTTCGAAGAATGTTAATTGACAGTTATTCAAGATTCGCAAGATTTGGAGATCCCCATAACACCATGAGCAATAAATAGGATGTCAAATCATAAGCAGCACGTGTATGTGTACGTTAATATGATGCATTTCTCAAAAAATGTGCATTCCTTCTTTTTCACTGAATGAACTGCAAAATTGGGTGTCCTAATGGCCCAAGTGGTTTCAGTCTATAAATTTTTGGAATAACTTAAAAACGCATAGTATTAGGTTGATGCAAAAATAATGGCCGTTTTTTCAAGACAACTTTTCTCCATCAGAATTTATTTTTTGAAAAAAAAAGTACATACCATTGAGAAGCATTTTTCATGCTCTATTCTAGCTATGGTAAAGCAATCTTCTTGCCCCAGGTTTTAAAGAGTACAGAGCTCCAAATAACCGCACGCAAAATCACAAATTTATTGCATTCAGTTTTCTGCCCAAAATTTAAGCCCAAATGAGCGGCGCTTCCTTGAAAATCTAGCTACTGTTCGTAAAAGAATTTTGTACATAATGCGCACTTGACTATACTTATTGAAATCATCCAAGCTGGGCTTAGGTGCGATGAGGTGAGCCGAAGCTCACCCTCCCTCCACTTTGGAGCCTGGGCCACCCCCCCCCCCCTTCACCTGGAACGGAGGAAAAAAAATTTTGAGTGAGGAAGTAGTGCACGCGAAATTAATAATTTATGTGAAATAAAAAAAATACAATTTCAGGAAAATTATCGAACGCGGAATGTTGTGAACATAATTTCGATTTAAAAATACATGAGCAGTGGTCATTAACAAATATTCAACAGCTTATGGCGCTGATGGATTGCTTATCTGGCACTTACACCTGTAAATAATTTGCGATTATAAATTATTGCAAATAAATTTATTGCGGTACATGGAGTGCTAAACGAAGTAAATGTTTAATTGTGTCGTTTCAAGCATTATAATTGTTATAGAAATGAGATTAGTGTAGTTTGAGTCAAAGCAATCTTTAACTGAGCTTTCCATAGGATGCAGAAAAAAATGGATCCTGAAGTGAATTTTTTGTCAAGGTGTTAGGTTGCAAAAAACAAATTTAGGAATTTCAAAGTGTAATAATTGTTGTACATTGATACATATGAATCTGAAAGATAACGGTCTAGGTGGATTGCACTCATGAAGAGCTTTCGAATGATATATAATATGTTGGCCTGGAACGACGTCGCTATGGAATCATCACTTTGCTAAAATATAAAAAATCAGGATGAATCAAGGTTTTCAAAATCAAATAACTCTTGTAAATGATATTGTGTCTCGATGGGAAGGGTGTCTGTGGACTACACCCATTATAAGCTTTCGAACGGTGTACAACAAGTTGGCCTGAATGGAGTTTTTTATAAAAAAATCGTGCTCCAAAGAGACGAAAAATCACGGTGCTAAAAATCGATTTTTTAAAATTAACTTTTGTATAAGTAAATGAAATAGGAAGGGAAGGGTATAGGCGAACTCTACTCCTCAAGAGCTCTCGATTGATATATAATATGTGGAGGGTGCATGCTGCTGAACTTCGGGAACAGGGTTGAGCATATTTGGCCGAAATGCTCACCCCCAAGGGGCGAGATAATGATATAAAGTGAGAGAGGCTGAGCATTTCGGCCAAATATGCTCACCCCCTGTTCCCGAAGTTCAGCAGCATGAACCTCCCACATATTATATGTCCATCGAGAGCTCTTGAGGAGTAGAGTTTGCCTATACCCCTTCCCTTTCTATTTCATTCACTTATACAAAAGTTATTTTTCAAAAATCGATTTTTAGCACTGTGATTTTTCATCTCTTTGGGGCACGATTTTTCTATAAAGAACTCCATTCAGGCCAACTTGTTGTACACCGTTCGAAAGCGTATAATGAGTGTAGTCCACAGACACCCTTCCCATCGAGACACAATATCATTTACAAGAGTTACTTAATTTTGAAAACCTTGATTCATCCTGATTTTTTACATTTCAGCAGACTGATGATTCCATAGTGACGTCGTTCCAGGTCAGCATACTACATATCAATCCAAAGCTCTTGATGAGTGCAATCCAAGTACGCTCTTCCCATCGAAATACAATATTACTTACAAGAGTTACATAATTTTGAAAATCCTGATTTTTTATATTTTAGCAAAGTGATGATTTCATAGCGACGTCGTTCCAGGCCAACGTATTATATATCATTCGAAAGCTCTTCATGAGTGCAATCCACCTATACCGTTATCTTTCAGATTCATACTAATGTACAACAATTATTACACTTTGAAATTCCTAAATTTGTTTTTTGCAACCTAACACATTGACAAAAAATTCACTTCAGGATCCATTTTTTTCTGCATCCTATGGAAAGCTCAGTTAAAGATTGCTTTGACTCAAACTACACTAATCTCATTTTTATAACAATTATAATGCTTGAAACGACACAATTAAAATTTACTTCGTTTAGCACTCCATATACCGCAATAAATTTATTTGCGACAATAATTCATGATCATAGCAAATTATTTACAGGTGTAAGCGTCAAATAGGCTGTCCATCACCTGAAAAAAGCTGTTACGTACAAAAAAGTAAATTAAAAATCCAAAAAAAAATTAAAAGTAAAAATGAAAAAATAAAAAATGAAATATACATTACTTATAAATTACTAAATTGTACAAAAAATAAACTAAAAATACAATATATCCTTGCTATAATATAATATAATATATACAGATAAAAAAATACAAAAATTAAATTATGCAATCTCTGTAGAAATTATATTAGGTTGGTCCGAAAGTTCTTGCGCATCATTTTCAAAAAATCATAACTTCCTCGCCTTTCGATGGATTTCGTTGAAATTATATCTGTTCGAAAGAGGAATCCATGCTCTTTACAGCAGTACCTCCGCCCTGAATTACTTCGAGAAACTTTGAGAGTTACAGGCAGTTGAAGGAAATCAGTCAAAATTGGCATTTTTCGAGCTGGATCACGAAAAATTCTGAAAGTATTTTTATATGATAGAGAAAATTATGCTCATTACAATCGTGTTTTTCCCATCTGTTGAAGCGAAACAGATCAAGAGTTAGGAGCAAATAAAGAGAATCCCTTCAGTTTTGTAATTTTTGAGCACGCTTTAAAAAGCCTAGAAACGTCACAGAAAAGACGGAAAGTCATGAACATGGGTTTTGTGACCTTCTCCTTTTAGCTGAGTGAAAATCCTGCTAATTAAGAGCAATTTTGGCTCTCGTGAAAAACGCAGACCCGAAAATCCGAAAAAATCACGAAAAACAAAATCGCTTTCGATTGACACGATTCTTGCTCAGCTAAAAAGAAAAGGTCGCAAAACCCATGATTATGACTTTTCCGCCTTTTCTGTGACGTTTCTAGGCTTTTTTGAGCATGCTCAAAAATTGCAAAACTGAAACAATTCTATATATTTGCTCCTAACTCTCGATCTTTTTCGTTTTAATTCGTGGGAAAGGTACCACTGTAATGTGCAAAATTTTCTTTATCAAATAAAAATACTTGCAGAATTTTTTGTGACCCAGCTCGAAAAATGCCACTCTTGACTGATTTCATTCAACTGCTTGTAACTCTCGAAGTTTCTCGAAGTAATTCATGGCTGAAGCACTGCTGTAAAGAGCATGGATTCCTCTTTTGAAGAGATATAATTTCAACGAAATCAATCGAATGGCGAGGAAGTTATGATTTTTTGAAAATGATGCGCAAGAACTTTCGGACCAACCTAATATATACAAAATTCTATTAATTACAAAAATTATTAGAAAATTTTTTTGGAATGAAATCCTCCCCCCCCCCCGGTCGACGTTGGAACATTCCAACACCCTTCACTTTTGAGGGTCAAAAACAGCCGAGACACCCTTCACTTTGGAGGGTGCCCGGCTCACCCCATCGCACCTATGAAGCTGGGATTCGACACCCCAACATGGGTAGTTGGTGCGGTCACTCTGTGATCCATAGACTTCTATAAAAGGAAGCAATCACCGAAATTTAGCTCTCATTCCTCTAGACATAAGGGTAGGGCATCCTGTTAACAGGTTTTGCAAAAACATCCGGTTGTTCAGTACGCAAAAAATAAAAAAAACTCTATAATTTGGAACTATAGGGCCTACGAAAAAATGTTGAAAAAAGTGCACAATTTTAGTTTCTAATTGTTTCTTTTTGCAAATCTTCTTTATCCAAACCCTTTTCATTTCCTTTTACTATTGGCTTGCGGCTACAAGATAGGCTACTTGTCTTCCACTCAGACTTTAAAAGGAGTTACGATTTGTAAGGTCAAAGTTTCAGGAATAAACGTTATTGTTTTCAAATCCATACTTTTCCGCCCTGTGTTGTTAACATAAGTTAATGTACGCTCTAAAGGTTTGCTGCTTCTGATAATTTTTACTGCATTCGGAAAGAATGATCCTTCAGAAAGATATATCGCGTCAAAGTGAAAATTCGCAAAACGGCCATCATTTTGTATCAACGCCATTTAATACCTCCCATCGGTCGTTAACAGAAAATTTGACTTTGAAGACAATTTGTCAAGTTATTGGGCATGAATTGCCCTACGATTCTCATATAACCGATTACCGGAAAAGTTCGTTTTTACGAAGAAACAAAATGCTAAGAAGACCTGAATAGAAATGCTAAAAGACCTAGGTAGTCTTAAATTCCAGTAGAAATAAAACTGCTTCTTGTGCTTCAACCGCTAACTTTCGTAAACAATTTGGACAAAAATCTTTTCTATCAATTAGATCTTTGTATACAAGGATACAAGGATATCTCTTGATTTAGAATCGAGCACTATAGGTGCCATTTCAGGCTTGAGTATCCCTTGGAACGAATTGAACGCGAAACTCATTGGGAGTACAGGGAGCAATGGACGAATAGGCTGATCAGCGCTGGTATTGAAGGTAGGTGACTGCTACTAACTTTGTATTAAAAAAATTAATAAATCCAGTCCTATTTATTAACTATGTTAATCTCTAGGCTGCAAAGTAATAAAATACATGTCTCAATTCTATCGTTGCTTTCAAGGTGAACAGGCTGCCAAACAAGTAAAAATTTGACAATCAAAAAAACGTTGATGGTAATGTAACACTAATAAATCGACATAAATTTGAACTTTGAGAATGTTTGGAAGACTCACCTAACAGATATTTGAAAACTCCTTTAAGAAACAATTACAAAAAGAAAAGACAGTATTCACTGCGCAAAGGCTTGGCCGTTGACAACATATTTTATGAGAAGTCGATTTTGCTTTGTGAGAAGATTTCGAGGCATAGCAACTACATAACTTCTACAACATCGTTTTGCTTTTATAATCTAGTTATATTAGTTTTGTTCAAAAGGGAAATTAGAATCAATTTCACCACAAATAAATTCTTATCTGATCTTTGTCCAGCAGCGTACTACGCTCTGGTAACCTTAGATCACTCCAGTGCTCTGCTGATAAGACTCTGTTTATTTGATTAGCAATGTTGCCTCATAAGACATTATGAGATGAACTTTTTCCTATGTCGTAGCATGATTACAAGGGTTTCATTCGATTTTCTGCCTAGATGATTCTCAGAGATCTAAAATTTGCATCTATCTATAATTAATTCGATGCCTATGCGTTTCCGCGACATCAATATCATTCATAATTTTCCTAAGTTCTAGTTTACGATGGGCTACATTTACCCACATCGGTTGGCCCCTAAAGTGGATTGCCGGACCATCCTCGTTCTTTCTGTTATTGTTACCATTTACTTTGTTATCGGTGCATTTTTCTTCCAATATTTTGAAGCTGGCCATGAAGAGCAAGTTAGGCAACACTTCATCCAGGCTGTCAATCGCTTCATAGAGGAAAATGGAGTCAGTCGTAAGTTATGCGTCGAAGTATATTCAGGGAACTTGCGAATCGTAGGGGGACTTGTGATCGTTGAGCCTTTCATCTTTCAGGGAAAACTGCCAAAATCATTGTTTGAGCGGAATAAGTATTGGAAGACGTGGACTATGTAACTGAGAAATTTTTTTTAATTTTCGATTTTTTTATAAACCTTCTGCCAATAATCGTACGTAATTTCAGATCAAGGACTAGTAATAATCATGTATACATTTACTGAATGTCCTCCTAATGAAACAGCTAATTTTTTGAAGATTCAAACTTTTCTTGAACAAATATAAAGCTCTTGAAATTTCTATTTATTTATCGATTACCAATTCTCCAAAACAGCGAGCAATCAACGCTTCAAGTAATTACAGCTTCTTTTTCTTTAATGATAACATCACTTCTCGTGCCGCACTGACGTTTTTTTATAAATTCCTCAACACGTTCTCACACATTTCGTTAAGCATATGTCCAAAAACCTTTACCTTTTGCGTTTGAAGCCAATGTCCCGGCAAATTTGCGCCCTAGGGTATATTGCTATAGTGGGGTTCCTGGTCATCCCACTGCCTTCAGGCGCATTTCGGTTGGTTGATGTTCCCCCTGGGTTGAGAAAATAGCCCTTGAACCGACGCGCGCTCGGACGACTTCGCACCGTTTGGCGCGGGACCCCGCTGGTTCTCCTGCATTGTGCATACTATCCAAAGCAAAAATTACAGGCAGAGGGTCTTCGTGACGCGACCTCCCAACTTTCCATTGAAATTCTCGTCCGAGCTGCCTTTTGGAAAGTGGGTAGACGCCCCGAAAAAGGTCTTTTCACCCGTTTCATAGCTCAAATTCGAGATCTACGGGTCGAGAAGGCCAAAAACATGCAAAAAGATGGAAATGCAAAATCTGCTGGGATAGTGCCTTTGAAATTTGAGAAAACTTTGACTTTCTCATGTTTGAGTATTTTTTTTTTTGAAATTAATTACTCCTTGTGAGGTTATGTTGGAATACGGAAGAGATTGAAAGCTGTAGGTCCATAATCGTGATTTTACTGTATTAAATATGTAGAATAACTTTTCTTTGACTTGGCGAGTTACGCGTGATAGAAATTATGAATGGCAAACTGGGACAGATCTTGTATAAATCTTTATTAAAAGAAAGTAGATGCCGCACCGAACACGGATTGAGACCTCTCTCAATCGCTTTTCTCAATTTATTTTTGCTGCTCTAAAAACCAAAAAACTTCATGCGGGACTCAGTATTTAGAAAGTTAACTCGACTTCCTGTAGTAATCACTCATTGCTGCCTTCGCCGTAGGTTCCCATGATCGGGAAAATCAACGAGAATTGATATGGAACTTCTACTTTCAAATAAGATATGGATAAGTTGTTGGAAGACTGTTACTTTATTGCCTGCTAGTGTTTTGTTCTTCACTGTAGTTCGATAGCTGTGGGGCTTAAAAGTTCTTCTTGCAAAGCCTCAACTTTCTCAACTTAACTGTTATAAATAGCTAGAAGTGGAGGAGAGAATATAATCCAAGAGTTCGTCTGCGTCATCCTCTGACGTGAGAAAAAGGCTTCTGGAATGGTGCGTAGAGGGTTTTGGAAATGCTTAGACGATATCCGTGTTTATAGAAGATGTAAAAAAATTTGCCTACAACTGTTGGTAGGCAGTCAGTTCTACAACAAATTCAAAAAAACCAATTTAGCAAAAGTTTGCAAAGTCTTATTGCACAGCCATCTCTGTTCAGAATCCGAGATAGATCGTCTCTTTGCTGATATTCGTGATGCAGCCATAAATGGTATATGGATGGAAAAGAATGTGACCAGCTCTCCGAATTGGTCATTCGGGCAAGCATTTTTCTTCGCTGGCACTCTTGTCAGTACTGTTGGTTAGTCTTGTTCACTTTTATACTAATCGGACCTGCATTAGAGAATCCGTGGCAGTAATTTCTTCCATGTATGGCATTTTTCCAGGTTACGGTCGGGTTTCACCGCGAACGGAGCATGGGAAGCTATTTACCATAGTTTATTGCATTATTGGTAAGTTTTGTCATACTGAAATAGTTGTGACCAATTTTTTCGCAGCATACTAGATAGGGGGATAAATCTGGTCAGCACAGCATCAAGAAAATGAGAAGGTCCATTGAAATTGTGAAGTTCTTTCCTTCAAGTAAAACCTTCTCAATCTCCAAATTTCAATTTTTTTTCACTCTCTTGAAATCCGTTTATTGTTGTTCATGGAAGGTAATTTGCACGAATATTGAGTGATATTGATTAATTATTGATAGTTGAGATAGGCATTCTCCCCAAAAATCCTTTTTTCTAGGAATTCCACTAACCCTAGCCTTGCTATCTGCCATAGTAGCTCGGCTAAGACGACCGTCCCAACTACTACGCGGGTTCCTCAATCAGAAATTAGCCCATATTTTCCATGCTGGTCAAATTCAGGTAAGCCTAAGCGAACTTGTACGTTAGAATGCTTAAATTTTATTTTAGATGTTTCACTTAGCAACTGTATGTACCCTACTTCTCGTATTTGTCTTCATCATACCGGCTTGGATCTTCACAAACATAGAACCTGAATGGACGTTTTTGGATGCATTTTATTACTGCTTCGTGTCACTCACAACAATCGGATTGGGTGGGTGAACTTTTTCAAATTTCTTTCCTATATTACACTATAATCAATCCATTCATACACTATACCAACTATTCCCATTAGTAGTAGTAAATATGGAGGGCTTGGAAGGACGACATGAATAATGAAATTGTGGAAACGATTTGTTTACTTACAACAAGAATTTCTCCTTTTCTTGAAGTTCAGGGGTCCGCAAAAATTTTCAGTCGTCGTAGATTTCTGCTGACGTCATGCTCATCCATTCAAAAAGTTTTCTGTCCCTTATCCTTCCCGGGAAAGCCCTATGGACTGTCACTGTCATCATTTCTTTGCAATTTTCCATTACCCCATTCATTTGAGTATTTGAGTTTTGGAGGGATGGGGGGGGGGGGAGAATTATATCATATTTCTCTCTTTTGTCTAGCTGACTTTATCTTATTTTGAACTGATGATCCATTCCTAGGGTAAACTTTCAAATTCAAGAGAATTTGACTTATAGGTGACTATGAGCCCGGAGATAGTCCTGACCAAGAGTATAGGAGCGTCTACAAAGTGATAGCAACAGGCAAGACATCTTCTTCCTCTGGTTATTTTTTACTTTGAAATATCTTAAATTATTCCAGTGTACCTTCTCGTCGGATTATGCTGCATGATGCTCTTTCTGGCTACTCTCTATGAGATACCATACTTCGATCTTACACGGTTTTTCCTCAAGAGCGAAGAAGAGGCAAGAATGGTTGATGAGGTAAGCGAACGTCGGAAAACAATAGTCAATGAATAATGAAGACGCTGCAAATGTGTTTGGAGAGCTGTGTACTTTGAAGACTGCGGAGATTCCTCTATGCTGATGGCTCGCGCTCTGGGAAAGCGAAATTTGTATGAAGGGGGGGGGGGGGGAGGGAGGCTCTAGTCATAGATTCCAGTTTGCGGTATATTGAAGCTTGTGGCAGTTTTTTGATTTAATGAGCTAGGTCCAAGGTCAGGCATCGCTCCCACTTCTGACTCCGTCTTTCCTTTTTTTTGTCCAAATAAGGGCTAAGGCATACCTCGCGCGATTCCGGTGGCTGCGCGATTTGGCACAACAACGACTCTTTGTCATTCAACGTTACGCTTTTTCTAGTCAGAACTTGACCCATTTGCTACAACTTACACAAGCTCCCCGCCTATGCATTCGAGAAGCGCGCACGATAAATTCGTAGAAATTTGGAAAATCGCGAAGTTGCGTGAAAGTGGCGATTTGGCCAAATCGCGTGAGGTATGCCTTAGGCCTAAGGGATGTGGAGTTGCATTTGCAAAACATCAATCTTTAATGTGTGAGATTTTTATTCTTTTTTCCATAGTCTGGCCTAAGTACAGCAATGGATCAAGCACATTTTTTATGAAGTCGCCTGCATGAAATCGTTCGGATTGTGGTAGGCTGAACGCACGCGAGCGTATCTGCAATGCGGCTGCCGAATACGGGCGCTATGTTGGCTCATGCGCGCGAATGCCAATGTTAGCCCGCAAGAGACACGCGCGCGGGTGCTCATTCCGGGCAATTCCGTGCAGTCAACTATACTAATGCTCCGAGTAATGGTAGTAGATCAATAAGTACTAGGGCTCGGCACTAGATGGCATCAGGGGAAATTTGAAAACGAAGTCCCCTTTGATCTTGAAAATTCCGAAGTCCCCTTTAACCAGTTTTGCATTTGCTTATGGCGCGCTTTCTGAATGGAGCAGATTTTCGACTGCAGAGCAGACCGAGAAATTTTAAAATGGCTTTAAACGCCTTCGCAATCAGCATGCTCACTTACCCTTGTGCCAACTCCCAGTCCCTTAGGTCAAATTTTGCAAAAAAAATGATAAAAGTCGGTAAAATCGATGTTAATCGGTGACGAAATATAGCCCACGACATCTGCCCGTTCCGGAATGAATGTGTGCAAAGTTTGGTCCGTATCGGTTCAGAAAAGAAAATCTATTAGGTTGTCTCGAAAGTTCTGTCGTTTCATTTTTGTAAATTTGTAGCTTTTTGCTGTCTCAAAGGATTTGCGTCTTTCTGATTTTATTAGAGAGAGAGAAAATCTTCCTCTTTGTAAATCTTCCTCGACAAGCTGTTACTGTACATTCGTTGCAGAGATAAAAATGGAAAAAACAAGTCCATTCGAGCTTTGACCATTTTGAGTTAGGTCGCCAAAAGTCTGAAACGCCGCAGAAAAATCTGAAATTGCCAGTGTATAAGTTTTATGATCTACTCTTTCCATCTGAAAAAAATCATGCTGTTCGGACGTCCCAATGAAAAGCTACGAGAGAAAAGTGATAAATTAATCGATTTTGGCGTCTTCTATTGTAAACTCGAAATTCATAACTTTTCACAGAGACGTACAAAAAACACAATTTTGTTTCAGATGCAGTATTTCATAAAACTTATACAGGGTGTCCTGTAGAGCGAGGTTCAACTTAGATATGTAGTATGAAGCAAAACTCCGATCTCACTTCGTTAATGTAGGATTACGGTAGGAAATTCGACAAGGGTTTTAGGCCGTTGAAGGCCATTTTCTGCCTCGAAGCAGAACCAAACAAGCCAAAATCTTTTGTACTATGGCAATGGAAGCCGCTGACTTCGAATATGAAATTTCCACTTTACTACAATGCTTCTTTTCAAAGTTATCCTAGGTAAACTGTAATAACTGACTTTCCAGCATGTGTCAAAATTGTGACTACACCATCAAAAAGGTTAAGAACACTCGTAAGAAGTTGTGTAGTGGAATCAGCGTGCGCGAAAACCTTAATACACGATTTTTCAGATTTTTTTGAAAAAATTTGGTCAGATGGCATGTTTTACAATGGTTCCACATGCTGGAATTTCTTACCGTAATCCTACAGTAATGAAAAGCGAACGGTGGTTCGCTCCATACTATAAATCTAAGTTGAACCTCGCTCTACAGAATGGTGCCTCAAGCTCGGCGAAAGACGTGAAAGCAAGGGAGTTATTAACGATCAAACAGTGTTCACATTTTTTGGGACACCCTGTATACTGACAATTTCAGATTTTTCTGCAGCGTTCCAAACTTTCGGCAACCTAACTTAAAATGGTCAAAGCTCAAATGGTCTTGTTTTTCCATTTTTATCTCTGCAACGAATGTACAGTAGAAGCTCATCGAGGAACATTTACACGGGGGAAGATTTTCTTTCCCTAATGAAATTAGAAAGACTCAAATCCGTTGAGAGAGCAATAAGTTACAGATTTTTAAAAATGAGACGACAGAACTTCCGGGACAACCTAATAAATTGGAGCCCTTTCCAAGGTCGATTTTCGTGATAAGCGCATACGATAACACAAGCAAAAATATTTTTGGTTGGAGATTCACTGAGCCACTGCTTTCTGAAAATCACGGCTCTACCAGATCAGCCGTTTGCGCGCTTTTATTAGATAGGTCTTGTTGAGCTTCTTCCTTCATAAAAGGCACTGCAAATCACCTTCATACGTAAATTAGCTCACGAAAATGTATAATCATTTGATGAGCATCACACAGTACTATTACAGAATGAGGTTGGACCAAAATATGGTCGGTTTTCGGAGGATGGCGGATCACAGTCGTACGAGAACGGATTTTACCAGAACCAGTGACAAATAACAAAAACAGTTTTATCATTGTGGCTTTACGATTTTGCAAAGTCTATTTCTTAATTGATTGATTTTCGTTTGAGAGTGATAACTACTGGGGATGTAAAGTATATTACTGATAAGTCATTTACGTCAAGTTTGTTTAGAACATGAATTTATCGCATTTACATGGCTTCCAGTTCACTTTTTCACGTCTACATGGGGTGGCTGTTTTATGTGTCTTATGACAGTGCGTGTTACTGTCTTTTCAATGTGACATGACTAAACTTGATCGGCAATAATTGCTTTTCTAAAACCTTGTATTTTCAGTCATTATTGTTGAAATATGATCTCATCTTGTGACTTACTTTGCTCGTATGATCTCTTTTATGGTAGAAATTTACGAAAATGTCTTATATTGCATGATCAACATTTTTTAATGAAATAAATATCTGAATGCAATAACGAGGGTTTGGTATTTGCTTTCAATGATGGTTGATAACATGATCCAAAGCAAGTATATAATCAAGCTTAGGGTGAGTTGAGAGACGAGTGGCATGGTGTTAAGAGGCGCCGTATGGCCAGGCTGGACCAAACTCGATCCGCCCTGGGTCAGCAATTGGGACGTTTAGAATAAGAGTAACCTCTTAAGATGAAAGCACTATTTGGTAAACAATAGGCCTGCAAGTCATGGTGGAGGTTCGCAAACATTTAACGGCCTTGGAAGAGAATACGATCAGCGCATTCCGCAAAGCGTATTGAAGACGTCGAATTAGGGCTCGACAAGAGCTGAAAGAGTTTTTAAAGCAAAGTCCCCCTTTGTTGTCCAAAAAAATTTAAGAAGTTTTTGATATTTAGAACCCTTCACTCCCTTCTTCTTCTTTTTTTTTGTATTTGGTCTGTGACCGCAAAAAGCAAAAAAACCGAGAACAATAGAACCAGGAAGTTACCGTCCCTCACCTTACCACTTCTCTTTCTTCCTCCCTAAACCTTCACCTCACCTTCCCCCACTCCTCTGCAAATGAGGCGAACTTAAAAACAGCAAACCAACAAAATGAAAAAACAAAAGCAAAGGAAGACAGAATCACCAAACGCACAGCGAAAATAAAAGATTTGAATGTGTTTGAATGAGTGCGCGCTTTTCGATCAGAGCAGACTGCGTCGTCAAAAGATTTTGGGAGCTTCAAAGTTGTATACAGAGAAAACAATGAAACTGTTTTGCATATGATTTGCAGCAAGAATAACTCATGTAAAAATACAGAAAATTATGTAAGCAAAGGATCGCGTCTAGCTCAGGTGGTACCAGGCTAGGTCCCTATTTTGGAAAAGGTTGAGCACAGCTTTCATTCACACAAACTTCGCGAATGCCATAGTCGAGCTCGTGCATGTTCTGCGCAAACGTGTCGCAAACTACCCTTACCCGAATAATCAATACAAGCGTGACTAGAACGCGGAGATCATACATCTTATATATAAAGCTGAATGTCTGTTTGTATGTCTGTCTGTCTGTCTGTCTGTATGTATGTATGTATGTGTGTAAGTATGTTCCGAATAGAAAATTCCATTTCTGAACCGATCCGGACCAAACTTGGCGCACATACAGTTGCAGCGGTAGAATTTGTCCAAAACTGCGGGATCGTCGGGATTCGCGGGATTGTCGGGATTCGCGGGATTCGCGGGATTTGCGACTTCACGGGATTTGCGGGATTCGCGGGATTTGCGGGATAAGCGGGATTTAGCTATAACTTCTTTTAAAACAATTTTATATCAAATCTGCAAGAAGATACGGCTTCAGCTTGTTGAGACGAATCTTTTGATATACAGTATGTCCGTAATTCGTGGTGAAGGGGTAGACATACAATGATACCTTGTTGTTATCTATGTTAAGGCTTTTGTGAACATTTATCAAAGCGTTAATCGCGAATAGCAGGTTCTGGTACAAAGTTCTCATTATCGAAAACTATCGCGAAAAATTGGGCAGTTTTTATTCATCCTTATCACTGATATAAGCATTTTATCATTTATCACTGATAATATCACATTTTTGGATCATTTTTGGCGTATGGTAAGAAAAGTACTGTAGGAAACGCTGAGTGAATTTCTATCGCTCTTTCTCTAATTAAAAGTAAGCTACAGGCTTTTCTAGTTTTACTGCTCGGTGTAATTGGTAGATCCCTCGCTGCAGTAATCGATCGATTTCTCATCGGCACATGCCACTGCTGCCAATTCTTACCTAAAATGGCATTTTTGCTTCAACTCGCTTCACGCCGAAGCCTGGGCTGAAATTCTGCACCTACATGGAAGATGAACGTGGGAATCGACCGCATGAATTCAAGCCATTCTTATCTATCGTTATCATTGATATCATCGTTTTATCATTTATCACTGATGAAATCACAAAATTGGATTTTTTCTGACATACAGTAAGAAATGTAGTTTAGAAAACGCTGTGCGAGTTTTTAACGCTCTATCTCTTATAGTATTCTACTGGTCTTCTCACAATTGCGCATTCGGTGCAGTAGATAGATCCCTCACTGCAGCAATTGATTGATTGCTATGAGCATGACACCGTCTCTTTGGAAACGTTGCTCTTTCTTCAGAAAAATCCACCGCTCTAAAAATTGTGAATGAACCGAGTCGCCTGTCAACAAGAGTTTCAACGATGGGCTGAACACTTCTGTTTTCTGCGTATGGACATACAGATCCAGATCCACGAAGGCGATCGGTCTAAAATGCGAAACGGCACAAACGGCGTGCTCGAGCATCTTTTCATCAGAGTCTACGCGCCCGTGAACGATGCGTGTACATGGGCGGTTGCCTCCGTCCCGAAGTTTTTATGAATTCTCTTATGCTCTACTCTATTTCTTGCTATCTACAATAGCTCACAATATGTGCAGATTTTCTTTGTTGTCGTGATTCCGGAGGTTTTGCGAAAGTCCGCAGCGTTCTGGAAGTTTTGAACATTCCGGGATTTCCTCGGAATCACGCGAGTCGCGCAAACTACAGTACCCACACTAATTATTCGACAGAAAACGCAAAAACTGACGATCCGCGTTTTTTTTCGCTTTTGTTCATAACTTTCTTATTGCATAAAATAGGAATCCGACGAAATCATGATGTTCAGCTCGTCAAAATGAACCTTCTGATATACTACACTCCCTTACTAGTCCGTTTTCAATTTGCTCGATTTTTGTGTGAGGACGGGTATTGTAGTGGTGTAAATCAGCGAAGAACACACAAGGAAGATTCTAGTAAACATGATCCAGTAGAGCTGTTTCCATAGATTATCATGGGTTAGCGATCAGCGGAGGATCCCTTCCACAGAGAAAGATAGGTCGATGAATTTTGAAAAATCTATGTCTTTAAAATTTAAGCTACCGTAACCATACAGTAAGGCGCTAATTAGCAAAGCAGGTGTGTTTTTCGTGATCAGCAGGTCAAATAACCTCTATGCGCAAGTTTTCCGACGAATTCGGCCCCTTTGATTTTTTCTCGTTCTGGGCTCTGAAGCTCGCCGACGGGTTTTGGCCAAAATATTGATGATCAGGCCTAACCCCTGTGGCCGAAAACTTCGCCCACAGGGGTTTTCGAACTCGCTAATTACGAAAACAGTGCTTTTTGTGCAGTAAGTTTTTTTTAGCAGAGTTATACCGAGTGCGCTGTCTCAAAACCAGGCAAGATCCTACTTTTGCCTGCTCTTTTCGCGTATTTGTTGGACAACTCACCCAGTTGTCTTTATAGCTAAACATTAACAGAAGCCGTGCTGTTGACCCATGGTTATTGAAGGCCTCCATAAGAACTGCCCAGTTACGAGTTCACAAAATCACGTTCTCATGAATATTTTCTGAAATTCAAGTATTGTATACGTTGATTAAACTGCCTTTCACAGTAAAAATTTTTGAGCAGAGTAAACATCATTTGCAAATAGCGTGTTATACATCCAACCAGGACCATATTTGGACAAAACGGGCGATCTTCAAATGTTGTGCTTAATTCATGAGAACATGATTTCGAAAGCTCGTAACTGGACAGTTCTTACAGATGGAGGCCTACAATAACCATGGGTCAATAGCACGGCTTCTGTTAATGTTTAGCTATAAAGACAACTGGGTGAGTTGTCCAACAAATACGCGAAAAGAGCAGGCAAAAGTAGGATCTTGCCTGGTTTCGAGACAGCTCACTCGGTATAACTCTGCTAAAAAAACTTACTGCACAAAAAGCACTGTTTTCGTAATTAGCGAGTTCGAAAACCCCTGTGGGCGAAGTTTTCGGCCAATCCATGATCATCAATATTTTGGCCAAAACCCGTCGGCGAGCTTCAGAGCCCAGAACGAGAAAAAATCAAAGGGGCCGAATTCGTCGGAAAACTTGCGCATAGAGGTTATTTGACCTGCTGATCACGAAAAACACACCTGCTTTGCAAATTAGCGCCTTACTGTATGGTTACGGTAGCTTAAATTTTAAAGACATAGATTTTTCAAAATTCATCGACCTATCTTTCTCTGTGGAAAAGGGATCCTCCGCTAATCGCTAACCCATGATAATCTATGGAAACAGCTCTACTGGATCATGTTTACTAGAATCTTCCTTGTGTGTTCTTCGCTGATTTACACCACTACAATACCCGTCCTCACACAAAAATCGAGCAAATTGAAAACGGACTAGTAAGGGAGTGTAGTATATCAGAAGGTTCATTTTGACGAGCTGAACATCATGATTTCGTCGGATTCCTATTTTATGCAATAAGAAAGTTATGAACAAAAGCGAAAAAAAACGCGGATCGTCAGTTTTTGCGTTTTCTGAGTACTCTGCGTTGATACCACTGCTGTTTGCGCGACTCGCGTGATTCCGAGGAAATCCCGGAATGTTCAAAACTTCCAGAACCCTGCGGACTTTCGCAAAACCTCCGGAATCACGACTTCAAAGAAAATCTGCACATATTGTGAGCTATTGTAGATAGCAAGAAATAGAGTAGAGCATAAGAGAATTCATAAAAACTTCGGGACGGAGGCAACCGCCCATGTACACGCATCGTTCACGGGCGCGTAGACTCTGATGAAAAGATGCTCGAGCACGCCGTTTGTGCCGTTTCGCATTTTAGACCGATCGCCTTCGTGGATCTGGATCTGTATGTCCATACGCAGAAAACAGAAGTGTTCAGCCCATCGTTGAAACTCTTGTTGACAGGCGAC